ACAACGCGTCAACGCTTTTTATGATGCACTAAATTTTTTTAACGTAATAATTTTAAAGTTAAATAAGTAAACTAATTCGTGTAAGTCTTGCTGGTTTGAACTGATTGTCCTCTCAAGAACAGTGTTTGAATGCAACAACCAACTATTGCAAAATGCGTCGTAACCCATATTAAACAGGCCTGTGCCAGTTATGGGCTTTGTTGGCGACCCAACCGGGTATTTGCCAACAAACATACCTGCCTAATTATTGTTTTCAGCTGTTTGTTTTACGTAAGTTGAAAGTTTCGGGTGATTTAAAGCAATGGCGGGCCGCCCTGTTGGTTGTCTTTGAACATGTATTTTTCAAAATTTGGCTCAGACACACTCGTTATGGATTGTTATCTGCTATCCATTACATGCGGAATGAATGCATGATAATCCAAAGGGATCGGGCGACTCATCTGGACCAGATACATCACTAACGAGCGAAACGAGGGGCTGTAAGAGATTGGGGAGAGAATTGGCCCCGATGTATACGCGGACTCCGGCTGACATTGATTTCCTGCATAATTGAAACGAAGATGCACATGATTTGCCGGGTGAAAGTTCGCGAAGTTTTCCGGTAATATTCGGGCGCCCACACTTACTTAAACCCTTTGTCATCTTCTTGTCCGTTCAGCACTTGCTGCTGGGAGTTTTGTCCATTTACGCCCTGCTCGTCCTTGGGACTTTGCTGTGTAACTTTATCCTTGGGATGATCTTTATCGTCCAAATGCAGCACCCGCATGCGAGGCTCCAAACCGCCCGGAACTGTGGTGCCGCTTTTATCGCCAGTCGGAGAAGTTCCCAGTACATATTCAACCTAGACATACGGAACGTTAAAAACTTCAGCTTCAAAAAGTTTGGAGAACTTGCCATTTTCACACCAAGACCACCGGGCCCATCGGAGCCTCTAGGCGATAAAATGCCACCGGGATCGCCTCCGGCGCCAGGAAACACTCCTCTACGCCCTCCCATAGCCAATGGGCCGTGATCACCTGCAAAGACACAAAGATAATTTTAGTTTCGTACTCAATTTATCTTAAAGGATATTCGACAAGATGTTTTTCGAGTCCCCAACTAGGAATAAACTGTCTTCTCTTCAAAATTAATGAATTTTTGAAGACCTTGTCATGAATGCACAAGTAAAATCATCAACATGAACCGTTCAAGAACTCTCTAGAAATTGAATGCTTGCAAATCCTTTTACTTCAGCATTTTTTCCTAAAATGTTGGGTTGCTCAAAGGACAGTCCCACACGCCCAATACATGAAATTTTTGTCCCAAAATTG